GTTTAAAGAAATAACCACATTAGAATAAACTTCTGTTGTATCGTGGCAATATTAATTTTATAAAATCCTAATCATAATAACATAAATTTTGTTACATAGTAGGCTAAATAACAAAGCCCAAAAAATTTAAAAAACATACAGGTTTCCTCGCGATGCATTCCGCCCTAGAAGAGCGCATGATAAGTCGATACTTAAAATTAAAATGAGGAATTTCAACGGTATCAGCACTGGATTCCTCAAGTATATTTAATTTAAAACCAAAGCCTCGATACGTATAATAAATGTTGTTAATATCTGGCGGACACACGGCTGAAATCGAATGCAGCCCGAAAAAACGTCAATGCAGCAAACATGAAATTAGTTATTCGATGTCGCACTGTACAACAATGGCTGTATCACCATTTATCATAAAGTGATGATAGCAAAGCACTGGCCGTTATCCAAAAAAAAAAAAAAAAAACAACACGCACAAACATTCCCATATACGACACTCGATCCGTTAATAGCATAGCCTTAAGGACACGTCGAGTTTTGGCGCGTTGCGATGAAATCGCGCGCGGCTCCGAATGCGTGGGGCGTCGCGGCGCTCGGGCCGGTGACGTCACCGTTTCACCGTTGCCGGCTGGAGGTCGGCCCATTGTCCGCGCGGGTTCAATAAACAGACCGCGTCCGACGCATTAATATTGATGCCCACGTCGATTCCTCGCTCGGGACATCTTTACGGACCCCCCACCCCCCACCTACCCCTAACCATCATTAACGCATTCCGACATCATAACTGGGCAGCGCTGTTACACCACTTCGTGAAGAATTACATAAATCGAGATATAAAAGATATGTATTAATTAGGTAACCTAATCTAACTGTTATACTACACTAGAGAATATGGTCGCTTGTACGTTTATGTTCATAATATCATATCGTCATTAGCTTCAAATTATAAAATATCGCTAGGTGGAAACGAATTCCATCGTATTTATTTGCTGCTCATTTGATTGCAAGTTGTTGCTCCTTTCTCTCGGTTGGGATGCGTTGGTTCTATCACTATGATTATAAATTAACTAGATCGTCCGCCTGGGTTAATCAGAAGATTGCTTAACAATTCATCAATACATATGTTATACAGTTACCTACAGTCTCACAACATCCAACATATCTAATATATATATTATATCTAACTAGCACTAAATTAGTTTGCTTAAGAAAATCAGCCACCGACAAATATATGACATCACTGAATGCAGCAGTATTGATTCGCATTTAGAAAAATTTTCTATCCTCATAATTTCTGCGTTCCTGACCCTGACCCTTGATATGTTTTACGTTCATAACCTAAACCTAAGTTCCACGTAGCAGTCCTATACCTCGTAATTTCGCAACGTTTACGTGATACAGACATTTCGACTATCGTATTACTGTCATCAATCAATCCAAACTTCCTATCCTCGTCCAACAAAACTATCCCAAGAGAATCAAGTGACTCGAGTCAATATGAAAGAGTTCCGACATCTTGACACTCCAGTGTAGGGAACACTGGAGTGACAGACTAGACAAAAGTCTGAAATATAAAGCGAAATATAATAGTACATTTCGTACAGTCTGAATAAATTAATAATATACATAAATAACATTACTAATTGTGTTTGCTTTTTATTCAAACGATCGGCGTCGGCTTGGAACCTTTTCGATGTTATTATAACAGTATTTATTTTCCATTACTCTTTACATTAAATATGACAGTTCTTATATTACAAGGTAATTTAATACAGAGACATTATGTATTAGAAATTTGCCTACAAATAAACGAAAACTAATTTACCTAACCATTTACGTTCATTATATTTAGTCTTGAAACATGTAAGTCACATTAATGTTACATAATATATTACAACAACAAAAAAATAGTTTGAAAAATTTCTAAAAAATAAGTTAATAGTTTTATTACGTATCAAGATTTATATACAAAAAAACAATAAAAAAAAATAAAAAATGTTTATCAAAGCAGAGCGATGCTCATAATTCTCAACTCAAAGCGTTTTCGTAAGCACACTAAACTTGAAAAGAGTTAACCCTAAATCTGAACACTCAGAAAGGTCAAAACACACAATTAGAATATCCTACCTCCGAGGGTTTTAATAAGCCCGTAGGGAATTTAACCTTTCTGCAACCTCCGTGTCGGCTAAACTTGCATAGTCGCCACGATCGAAAGCGATGGGTTATGACCCAGCTAAGACAGAAACAAGTCCTATTTAATACGTCATAATTTCTCGCATTGAGTGGTATGAGCAGGGTGGGCATCAAAAGTCTGTCAACAAGTGCATAGTTAAGAGGCATGTCGCTTCAGTAATACCATAGCTACGTATATATGCACAGTAATATATGCACTCTAAATTTTCATAGTCCCTAAGATCGATAGCTATGGTGACCCAGCTAAGACACAAACAAGACCAATAGACTACGTCATAACTTCTCCCTATCAATCGAGATGCTTTGGGTAGGGTTGGCATCAAAAGTCTGTCAGCAAGAGCTAGCTTAGGGAGGCATGTTGCTTCAGTAATAACTGGGGGTGTATGCAGTTTTCGAGCGACCAATACCACGTCACGGGATGCACGGACTAATTTTAACGCGGTCCGGGGAAACGCCACGCGGAAGGGGAGGGGGAAAAGACGAGTTTCGCTTGTCCCGCTCGTCCGCAACCGAAATAGAAGCGCGCGCCGCGATGACACAACGGTAACCTGTGGCGAGCTTCCACAGCACCCGCGACTTCTTCGAGTCGCGGGTGCTGTGGAAATCATCGAGTTCCGCTTCTAACACATCGACGAGAGCCGTTCGGTGTGACCCACAAATAGGGTTTTTACGATCGAAAAAAGTGACATCTTACGCTATACGTATGACCAAAGAAAAAGGCAACAATTGTTTTTATATTCATGCTCCTGGATGTAAAGTTTTTGGACTCTGGTGAAAAGCCCAATTTTCAAAAGGTTGTCAACGCATCTGCAACCCTTGAGTGTCCATGGGCGTATTCACTTAACATCAGGAGAACCGTCTGCTCGCTTGGCAACTTTTCTCATAAAAAAACATACGAAAATAAATGTACACACATTTCTTTTTCAGTTTGTATTACCCTCAAAGGGTTCACTTGCTACGATACAGGCGTGTATGCTAATATGTTAGGTACGCTACTCTAACACGCGCTCTATTTAAACTGAACCTAACAAACACGTAGTGAAATAGGCTTAGTAGCCATGAATGAGATAGCATTGTATATTAAAAAAGTGGATAAGACATAAAAGTGATATCGACAATTACAATACCGTATGAAGTAATTCTGAAAATAATATTTGTAAATGTTGTAAATAAGAAATAGGTACTTGGATACAACCGTAACTTAAATTAATTCTTAGGTTGCGTGTGAAGATAGAATTATGTCGCGATCGACAGTTGAGTCTTGTAAAGGTCTGTTTAAGGACACTGATCCTTAAAGATATGCTTATTTAAAACCTTAGGTGATCACGTATGCTTTGTGATTCGATTTTAAAGTTATGCCTTTCTCGGTGACGGAAAATCTGTTTTTCAGCAAAGTGGTGGTCCCATATGAGGTATACGCTGCTGGAAAAAGATCTCATCCTCTTAAGGTTGCTTGGAAGAAATTGCTACCTTAGCAACAAGGCCGCCTACATGTACATTATGTTCCTTGTATTGTCTTTCTATGTATTTTCTTGTATGCAATATAGTATATTCTATTCTCTTCTAGTCAGAGCAAAACCGCCAAAAAAGCACTTCCTCCGACCATGAATAGACATTGAAAGAGGAATTTACACGTTTATATTTTAATATTTGAAAAAAAATACGTACCAGAGTCTAATAAGTTTATGGTCACGGTCGCTCTTTAACAACCTCCCGACCAATATGAGTTTCCGCGATGTTTATACCAGTCGATAAACAGATCGCCGTAACGACGTATAAGGCTTAATATAATAGCTCAATATAATAGAAGAACAGGAAAATACAGTACATACAGGGGGCGTTATTGCTAAGGTAGCAAATTCTTCCAGGCAACCTAATATTATTACTATCAAAACAACATCAGTGTGACACGGGCTTTAACGTTCGAACACGAGGTCTATTTATAAACTAACAGTCGTTAGAAATTATATCACAGTTCGGAGGCAGCAAATGAAACTTCGTTTTCGAAGTTTCCTCTAATGAAATATTTAATATACTTTATATATATAGACACAATCATACGTAGGTTTTAACCACAAAAGTTGTACAATATTTTTAAGAATAATCGCGAGTGTTCAAGTTAAAAGAGCTTGTTTAGAAGACGGTCCTTTACGTGTATGAATGTAGATTGTTTTACAGTTTCGTTTTATACAATTGAATAATTGTTTATAATATTTGTTTTTAAAACTATCATATTTTACGTAAGTACGTTGATACTGTTATCATTGCTTTTACATAAAATATGAGTTTTTCTTTCGAATAGCAATCCAATTTGCCTATAATCCGGCGAAGATAATCCATTTAGCGCATACGCAGAGAGCTGGGAAATGTTAAAGCACTCCACGTTATCACAGTAGAAAGTCGTCGCCTCGTAACGGGATAGGCGATTGGACATCTAAATTCTCGAAGCAAAGGGCGGTACATTGAATACAAATTATAACTAAAACAGCGTCGATACATGAGTACTCTGTTTCACTCTTTTTTAGGCCTTAATTCAGGTGTTTTACTAATACTTTACATATAGGTTAATATGAGTTTCTAAATGTTGGACTATCTATTGTGCGATATGACGACAGAACTGAAAATACGCTGGGTCGATGGATATGCAGTCACTAATGTAAAACAATGCCTTTAGGACCTTCCTGCGCGTGGTGCCAATTGTTTCGATTTACGTCAATGGCGTACCAAGAGATCAGTACGTCGATTTGATACCTGTATCTACCTACACTCCTAGTCCCTTCTAAGTCGTATGCTTAAAGTTGAGCATGGTGCTATTCCAGTGTTGCTAGTATCTGGATCTTCAGTTCTGGTTCTCCAGTTGTGCGTATCTCTAATTCGTGATTGACCTCGCTGGCCTTTGTGCCAAGATTTTCAGATTACCTACACTACTCGAACAAGTTAAATACGTGATACCTGATGAAGAACTGATGATAGCTAAAATATTGTGATTTGGCGACACCGCTTACGTTCGGAATCTTTCACTACTACTTATTTGAATCAAGATTACTAGTATACCTTCACTGTTTTTGATATTCGTGATACAGAATTTTCAAACGATGCTTGCCTCTTGAAGAAAAGACAAATAAAATTATACAGGTCTGCCGTTGTGCATCACGGATATACTTAGTATAATTAATTGAAATTTACTGGATAAATTTCATGAAATCAAACTTAGTATAATTAATTGAAATTTACTGGATAAATTTCAATAATTTATACTTAGTTTTATTCCTTAGATTCTTGGCACTTATCTAAAAATATATTTCGATATCTTCATTGCATGTTAAGTTATCGAAGTTTTAAGAAACGATGTTTTCTATAAGCACTACGTGTTTGGTGATAATGTCACGGGTATCAGCTAGTCCTATGAAACGCAAGATTAACTTAATGATCAAAATTAAGAATAGTACGTGCATTAAAAAAATCTTTAGTATGGATCGGGGATATTTGATTGAGGGGCGTATTACACATAGAATGGCCGTGTTAACCTTATAAGCCAGTGATAAAAAGTTCATTCTATTGTTCCTAGGTACGGATCAGAACAGCGTGTGATTTACACCTGTTCTCGGAAAATCAAATGCTTATAGTACCTATTAATTCAGTATGATTAGTACGTCGCATAATTTTAATTTAAAAACTTAACGAATAAGCTCGCAGTTAGCTCCAAATTTGAAATTGCTTTAAGAGGGCATTATTAAATAAATGTACCACTGTGAACGTTATAAGTACAGTCATTAACAACAGTCCACACCAATCGAAACTATATAGCCTTCTAGATTTTTGCAAGCCATGAGCAGCACACGTAAAGTATGTCGACAAGGTGACAAGACAGCTTTTAGATCAAGGGGACGTAGAAACAAAGGGTACATTACCTATATTACATAAGCCAGGTCGTTTCAGCTGATGAGATTTTCAAATAGTACAATGTGATAAAACTATTCACAAGTTAACTGCAATGAGTTAAGAATATTCTTGCCTTCTTTTTTTCTATATACGTCACTGAAAAGACAAAATTACTTAAACACCAAACATTTGTTTGATGGTTAAGTAATTTTGCTTTTCCAGGGGCGATTACGATAATTGCTGATATATGTAGAAATTATTTTTATTGTACACATCTTATGCAGTACCTTTCGATCTAATAATTTTCTATAAAGATCTATTAAATTCCCAACTTTTTGTTAATAACAAATGTTAATATTTGAGATGATTGGATTTGTTTTTGAACTATACATTGAATAACGTCTAAAATGACATCATCGACAAGATTCGTGTGGATTTCGTCATATTGAAATGTACCTTTACTGTAACTACTTTTGGTTTAAAACAAACGCACAGATGTTCTTTTCATTTTAAGGGAACAGTGTCATTTCAGTCTAAATAAAGCCTAGGTCATCTATTCGACCGGTTAATTACATATATGCAAAAAATCATACCGACATGTTAGACTGATACTGAGCGAATTAATGACAAAGATTTATGTTATTGTTGTGAATTTTTCTACCTATTTCTATAATAATTGATTGTAAAGATTAGATACAGGATAAGCTTAATTATAGTATTTGTCTTTCTTAATATTTCAAACTGTTATTTTATCAATGTCACTCTCTAGTTCTTCACATCTAGCGAGTTCAAAATTAAGAATCCAAAACAACCAAACAACTTATTATCACATGGATAATATATAAGATATGGTCAATATTGTCTTTGAAGATGGAACCCCAAACGCGAATTAACAGTTCCATATCACAGGTAAAGTTATGCATGGAAATCTAACAAAAACTACTCAATTATAACGCTCATTGCACATGGAAATAAAAGTCATAACTATTCAAAACCAATCAGCCAGATAACATGACTGATTCCATGCATGAATTCCATTCTTTGAATAGAATATCCAATGGATGTGTAGTACAATAATTCAGTATTCTCATTCACATTGTTATTAAAGGAGTATCATCATATTTAACAACTTATGCTGTGAGATGTTTTGTTTTAACAAAATAAATTGTTGGAACTGTTAGTCATAGAGAAGCATAAATAGTGATTCTGGAGATGTGCCCAACTTTTTACAAACAAAACATGGTGATATTACTCAAAACTATTTAAGTCTAAGAAATCATACATTTGAGGTTAAATAAGGGAAATTTGACAATGTTATAAACTGAATTCACATATTACCTATGCTATATTGTAGAACCTTTTTTTTCCCCATACTATGGCTCCACTCACATGGTGAGTGATTTTTTTGTAGAACCTTGTCGACAGTTATTACAACATAAAAGGAAACGGAACATAAAAGACACGTAATTTCATAACACAATATTTGCCACAAAACCAGCTGGAAGCAAACATGAAGCAAATAGGATTCCCTGGTCTTTAGCCTGGTCTTTAACTATGTTGTGTATAGTAAAAATTAATTAGTACTGTACTAGAAAATCTAATGTATTCCAATTGGAAAACATTACTATTCACACATGTCATTTTTTTTAGTCCATACTAAATTTATTACAATACAACTAATATAGGAAATATTTATTACACAGCCATTAGTGTAAATTAAATTCCTAAAATAAAGTATAAATCTTTGATTGTGCAATTTCATAAAAATAATATTTAAAACAAACTAGACATGAATTCATGTATAAATCAATAAAATTGGTTTGGAAAACCTATTTACATTACTTTTATAAGTGACATGGTGCGAGAAAATAATTATATTGACATACAGAATTAGTTGAAACAGACAAATTTTTTAGCTGTACAAATAAAGTATATAAAACAATGTGAAGAATTGTCTAACTGGAGCACACTTTATTAGACTTAATAAAAAAATATTTAAGAATGCGTGTGATGAAACCTCTGATTTATAAATAAGTCAACACTTATAAACCCTCGACCATTTAATTAGCCAGGAACATTATGCAATGCAGTTTGCACAGTTCACAGCAAATGTGGGCTGAATGTGATTTGCATGTGTTTATGTAACATTGAAAGTAAATGACTGCTTCCTATTTTTTTCACCAATTTGTGAAATTTTTCATTTACAATGTAAATGACTTGTGTAGTAAAGAAAAATATTGGATGTTCTTCAAATTATCACAGGATAAAATCGAATCTAGTAAGCAGATAGACATCATTTTTCAAAGTATACCTACAAATATCTTTTTTATTTGCTGCCTAATTGTGTTGTTAGTTAGTTTAATAAACAAAGAATCAATCAAAGATAGAGGTTCATTTGTTTCAACTAATTCGCAATGCAAAGACCAGGTAATCATATCAATGACAAAATGTGACTTACCTTAAACATAGGCCTCGGATGCCTAGGCTGAGAAGGAGCGGTGGCCGTGGCGGCAGCCGCGGGCGCCGGTGATGGCGACGTCACGTGGTCCGCCGGCAGTGACTCCGGCACAGTCTGAAGAGTTGGCCGCATAGTCGTCGACATCTCAGCACCAGTTCGTACACTTTTCACCTCGCTAGCACACCCTCACTGCTCGCATCCTCTGCGGCGGCCGCCCTCTCAGCCAGCCCGGTCGACCCAGGCCTTCACTAGCACCCTGACGCTGCCTTTGAATCAACTTTACCGATCGTCGAATAACAACGCCCATCTAACCGCATTTTCGACCGTAAAAATACATAATGAAGACCTATTAGGACAGCTGGGACACTATACGCATTCCTATTTCACTTTCACGTAAATGCTAACGATCGTCGAGATGGAAAACGGAAATAGACACGCAAAAACTATTAGAAAGCTTACAGTGTCGTCTCCTGTCACATAAACACTACGAAAGAATTCGGCGTTTCAGATAAATGCCGACGCGTAACACGATTTCGGTAACGCGAAGGGCCTGTATAAACGTTACAAAATCGTTTATTGGATGAATGTTCGTCAATTTAATAACAAAATTAATAAATATATGCACTTATTTCCGCTAAAAGTCCATATATTCTTGAATTCACTCTCAAGATGGCGGATTTTACCTACTCCTCGTAAATGGGCACAAGGCTGACACGAAAACATCAACCGGCTCTCTATCAATCCCTTTCTTTTGATACTGTACAAAATGAGATAGTATTATGTGACTAACTTCAACGGCGTTTTATTAAACGTCGTGGATACGTCATAGAAAACCTGCCAATAGAGCATGCGCGAATGTTAGAAAACTTTAACCTGAACGCAGTTTTAATCGTTTGGTTATTCTAAAATTATACCTGTCTATGAGATATATAATAAAAAAGTTGACGTGATAAACTTAGTATCAAATACATTTTAATACACAAATAAGGTCTTTGCTACCACAATGTAATTAATTAATGATTCACCATCCTAAAATTTATTTAATTCATTTTATTACATTAAATGAAAGTCAATTTTTATAATTTAATCCTACGTGAATAATACTGTTTCTTTTTTTTAATTATAGCTTTAAATATACACTTCATAAAAATAATTTTTATTTGAATATTCAATTGCTAAAACACTACTACTCGTTTTATCAAAAATCAAAAATGGCTGCCTTGTTGTTGGCTACTGGTGGGCGCTTGTTTAGGGAATAAATGTTTATTTCTTTGTTTTGGTGTTAATTACAATAAATATAGTGTAATGAATAGTGAAGTGTGGCACGTGATTCAATTCATTGGTAAGTTAAGAAATCTTACGTTTGTCTTTACGTATAAACATACTTGAGAAATAGCTAACGTAATAACTGTTAGGCGCAACGTGAGCTTTTTCTGCGTATTCATATAAATGTCATTCAGCTTTATAGTTTACTTTCGAATAATGTAAGACCTTTATTTTTGAAAATATCCTCGTTTATCTTGTAATTTTGAGCCGCTAGTGAAATATCTATTAAACGTGACCTTCGTTCAATACAGAACAATAAAGGTCCTGTACGGCGCAATGCCACAGTTAATGTTCTTGGTGTTCTTAGTTTCATGTTTTCATGAACTTAATTCTTAACTTTCTTTAGAAAACTAAAGTATTTACGTTTTTAGGCCAAACATATAAGAAGTGAATGAACTTTGGTTTGCAACAAATAGTCTTAGGTACATATTTTTTGTTTACGACTGTTAGGAAGAATGTTTGATGTCGCGTGTTGTTTTCTTTTTGCTATTATTTTGTAAGTTACATAAATGACATTTGTTGAGTGACCCACAAACAATCCCATTGCTTTTTTTTTCTAGGTTTAATATCCAAAGACTGAAAAATAAAAGTGTAAAAACTATAAATTTTTATTACAGAATGTTCAGTCATCAGTTGCCTGTACGAGAGCATTTAACCAATGTTTACAAAGGAGTAACCCACCATTAGTTTAAGCTTATGTTAATTGTAGACATTAAAAGAACATTTCTGTAGTAGTTAGATAATATGTCCAAGATGTGGCCGCAATCGCAATACTCCCACACTAACACTCACTATCAGAACAATGCAACAAAAACAAATGAACACCAAAACCAGCAGAATTTAAAGACACTGGGAATGACATCCGCTATCTCTATGGCAGGTTTGTATCATATTAATTTTTAAATAAGCTTTCCTACTTTTAAGTTATAAAATGTATGGTAGATTTCATATTAATGTATAATATTATATTTCAGTAATTGTTTAAAAGAGATAATTCTAAACTAATCAAAACAAAAAGTACTAGTTATAGTTCTTATGTGAAAATTACAGAATTTTATTAACCTTTTTTATTTAAATTACTTCTGCTACTTGCTACTTCGTGACGTACGTGCTACTTCTATGATTTTGAATAATTAAGGAATGCATAGGATTACTCCATTGCAATAGGATGATTTTTCCATTATAATTCAAAATGTTCTAGCAAAAATGTTAATTTTTCCAGCAATGATTTATTTTGATTACATACAGTGTAATTTTATCACCAACTAATTATTAACTCATATACTAAATGAGCATGAGTTTAGACATAATTGTTTTAAATTTTTTGGAAATTACAAGTATAATTAAGTATTGTTTTATTGTAGAAACTGTTTCTTTAACACAATACAAAGTGGTATTTTCTTATTGAAAAATTTATAAGTGGACCATGTGAGCATGTTTCCATTAGTTCCACTATAATGAGATTAAAAAAAAATTAAAGCTCAATAAAATTACATAAGGTGTTAAGTATATTTAATCTTACTTCCATTGTAACATTATTAATGTATGACAACAGGTATAAAAGCCAATATTTGGCACTTGATAAGCTATGCATGGTGTATGAATAAGATTAATATAGTTAATATTATATGAATAGTTAAGTCTACTAAACTTAATTAATGTAGTTCATAAAAATTGTAAACACAAAATGAACAATATTTAACATTTTTCCTATGGTTATCCTCGTTACATATGAAAAAATAATGCAACCTTGTGCTCATTTTTAAATTAACAACAAAACAGTTGAATAATTTCAATTCAGCTGGACAGAATAGAAGTCCATTACTGTAATTATTTTTTTTAATGCAATTCACAGGATTGGAACATAACATACTTTTGGTCTGCTAATATAAGTTTCATGTTTAGGTCCCAAACCAATTGATATAGAAAAAACAAATGAGTTGAAAGAATCACTTGTGCCATTTGGTGTATTTGAATCGGAAGCTGAAATGCACCATCGCATGGAGGTTTTGGGTTCATTGCACCGTCTTGTAAGACAATGGATAAGAGATGAGTCTCTTAGAAAAAATATGCCGCTGAGTGTGGCAGAGACAGTTGGAGGGAATATTTATACATTTGGATCTTACCGCCTCGGGGTAAGTTGCTTGAACTCAAATATTTCATTATATTTGTATTTATATACAATTACCAAAAAAAATAATAAGAATTATTTGCCTATTGGAATGGGAATAAACTTATTTTATCTGAATTTGTTATTTCTGCCATAATTCTAATCAAAATGTCCATGAAATAAACATCATTACAAATCTTCTAGCTTCAAATATGCTTAGTTTAGAATAGCTAAAGCTGCAGTTTATGGATTAATAAAAATGTTAATTTAACTAAAGTTAGTTAAAAAGATGTTGATGCATACAAGTCAGATATAGAAACATTGACATCAATGACCAAAAAATGTGTTTTCTTAAATAACATTCAATTAAATGAAAAGTGCAAGTTATTCGAACATTATCATGGATAATTCACGGAAAGATGTATAATAGAATGATGAAAGATACGATGCAACAAATACTTGCATTTCATCATCATTTTCATTGTGAGGAAAATGTTTCTTTTTTAAGAAGGAAAACATGCAAATAAACTCTTAATAAAAAGAAAAAAAATGTCAGCATATTTTTTGTTGCTGAAGTGAAGAAAATAGGCAGCTTTAAGGGGAAAAAAGAAGTGATTCATAAGTCTAGCTCTTAAATTCAATTTTTTTTAATTGATAAATGGATGGTTAGAGCATGCCTCCATCCATTGAGTTGATTGAGAATGTCTCAATTGTCTTTTTTTAGGTACACCACAGAGGAGCTGACATTGATGCATTATGTGTGGCCCCAAGGCACATTGACAGGACTGACTATTTTCAGTCCTTCTATGAATTGTTAAAAACTCAACCACAGGTAAATGTAACGATTTATTGAGTTTAAGTGAATAAACTTCACATTCACATTCTGTACATCAAATTAAATTACATAATTATAATTAACTGTAATGATATAATTAAACATAAACAAAACTGGTATTTCAACACTAGTTTTATCAATATTTAGTTAGTCACTAATAACTAGCTTTTATACATCAGAGCTTATAAATGAACCTATTTCTTATGGATTACTATTTTTACCAGTTTTAGTGCAATATCCCTCTGCATGATCCAGGAAGCTTGATTGTGATTTGCGAGGCTATTTAAATTAAAAAACACCCTAATTTCAGTAAAGAAGAGGGTTGGGTGCTACCATCAGCTTGGGATCCTATAATCAGTGAAATTAAATCTAGCCTCAAACATACTTTCTCAGAATTTGTTTTTTTGTTTTGTTTCAATTAAATAATTCATCTATAAATTCTATCACAAACAATACAAACGGTTTAAAATTAATTTCAATTCAAAATTAAATTGGAATTCCTTGAATTGGCCACTTTATTTTAGAAATTACTGTATGGTTTAACATCTAATTGTTATTGTAAAATTGTTAATAATAATAAATACCAATTTAAAATTCCACAAACCAAAAATCTTTTTTATCTTATAATTAATAACATGTGTCCTTTAAACCACAAACCAAAAATCTTTTTTATCTTATAACTAATTAAATCATTAAAGAATTTTTGATAAATTTAATATATATGTGTAAATTCATAGTGAGGAAACCTTTATTGTGTTAATATGTATTATTATAAATCTTGTATAAGATAAAAAGCCACCAAAATAATGGAATTATAAAAAAACAAAATATTATATTATGTAAATTAAAAATAAATTATTTAAATCAAAGAAATTTTTTATTATTTTTCTCTTATATTAGAGTCTAATTTATTTTTTTGCTAAATGAATTATTACCAAACTAATTGTTGATAGCATTTCTAACATTATTTCGTTTTTTTTTTTAATTTTTGATCAGTAATACTTGTATTTTAAAAAATTTCATTCATCATTTAAATTTCTGTTTTTAATAAATTAATAATAAGTTGACAAAAGGTAATATAAAAAGAATGTACCCACATTTTTCATATGCAAACAGCATAAGCGAATGGCCTTTACAATTTTAAATTATGGTTAGTCAAAATGTGATGTTGTACTGAACATTCGTTATTTATAAAGTATGTCTAGGATAGAATAAATATGTTAACGAGTTAGGGTTTTTTTCATTCACAGAAGGGGTGTTTTATTCAAAATAGTAGGAACACATAATGTACGTATATTTATTCATAAAATGAGTGAAGTAAAAGTGAAATACCTATCAACAGACCAGATAGATATAAAAAATGACATCAGCATGTCTTAAATACTGGTGTGGTTTGCAATCTTCATTATTACTTTCATAATATTGTATCAGACTATTTAAAACCATATCAGTGTAAATGGTAAAAAGTGTACTTAGATTACATTGATATACATTGACATTTACTATTACATTAGAAATTATTATTACAATTATTTACAGACGATGAATCTAGTTAGCAATTTGGATCTATATATTTTTTTCTTTTTATTCGGAAACTACACAGCAACCACATTAAAAAATATAATGTGTGTGTGTGCGCGTGCGCGTGCCTGCGGGTGTGTGTGTGTGATTGAGAGAGAGAGAGATCTAGCATCTTATTCATCTGGTATATTTATAAGTGCCTTAGAAATTTTATTTAGAAATTGATTACGAGTATAATAAAATAGATCAATGTTAAGACAATACATGTTATGTTATTATAGTACAGCATACACCTATGCAGTATAGAAGTATTAGCATGTTTTGTTTTTGTCAAAGCAACATGAAATAATTTTGTGCAGCGTAGATGACGTGATGGGATGCGAAATGATAAATAATTGGTGCAACAATGTAGGGCAGTCTAGTTAAGATTCAATATTACTTTAAAAGCATATTAGAATATGCTAGTTCTATATTGACCCTCAATACAATGGATGGGATAGAATCTGCCCAAAAAAGCTTTAAAACATTCTATCATCCAAAAAACTAAAATACTTGCTGCGATCAATATAGTATGTCCGTCTAAAGGATGTATTTCAGCCAAATAAATAAATTTTGCTGAAAATCTGCTTTGATTGTCTAGATGCACCTAAACTGCTATTTGCATTTCATACTCGAAACCGTTTTCCATTTGTTTTACGTCTTTACGTGGTAAGACACTGTTTCATTTGGTTAATGGTTTGGTTTGATAACTTGGGAAACGTGCAATTTTTTTATCCCCCCTCAAATATACTGATAATAGATCTAAAAGAAATTAGTGAACATTGTCCAATAAGAAGCGATAAACCTGATATATCTCGTTGCCTGTATAATTATATATTAATTGTCCTTTAACTGTTTAGGAAGATCATTCTTAATGTTTTTCCGACATATTTGGAGAACTTCATTTTTCAACACTGCTTTTTGTTCCAGGTCAAAGACTTGAGAGCAGTGGAGGACGCCTTTGTGCCAGTCATAAAGATGAATTTTGACGGAATAGAAATTGATTTGCTGTTTGCTAGATTGGCATTGAAGGAGATACCAGGTAAGTTTTGGTGTTACACTCTTTGTCAACTTATGTTAACATAAATTTGTAACAAAATTATCTAATGAATCTGCAAATCGTTAGTGATTAAATACGAATGCTATTAGTATTTTATTTTGCTGCTTTATACATAATAAGAAGAGCCGTGATAGCTCAGTGCTTTTAATTCAATATACTCAAGCAACCTGAGTTAGTTCCGGCACCAATGAAGTTTTTAACTTAAGTGCTGACTTATCACGTGAAGGAAAACATCGTGAGGAAACCTGCATATTTTCGAAATAATAACAAAAAAAATATTTCGAAGATATGTGAAGTCCGCCAATCCGCAGTAGGCCCGCGTGGCGGACAATGCCCTGATACCCTCTGTATAGAGGATGCCCTTGCCCAGCAGTGAGCATGTATAGGCTGTAACTTTATACATAATGCGTGTTAAAAAAATCCTTTAGTGCATACGGGTGCTTAGTCTTTGTGCTTGACTCTATGGCTATCACTTTTAGGCATGTACTGTCGAGTGCAAAAAGTGAGTAATAGTCTAGTCAATCAGTGCTTTATTTTCAGGCGTATTTTCAACCCTCTGGGAAAATTATAAATATGGGTCCTACACTTCCGGGAGTCAGAACATTTTTTTAATGAAATTTCTTCCTCTTTTTAGATCTTTTTTCAAATTTCAATTATCTGGAATATTTTTTTTTTTCACTGAATTGTTTGTAACTATTGAAATTTTTTCGAGCGGCCTTAGCATTTTCCCAAAAATTATCTACATGCCATTCCGAATCGAATGACACCTCAATCATAATTAACGGAGACGGCGTAAAAATGTTGACCTAAAAAGCACTCATTGACTAGACTATAATGTTTAATGAAATAGCCGGACATTAAAAGAATCAAAACTGAATAACAACATTGTTCGCAACTGTACACCGTTATTTACACTCATATCAATTATAGTAACGAAATTGTTAGTAGAACAGTATTATAGTAAAGGTATATAATAGTAAAGGTTGAATTACTGATGTACAAATAAAAGAACATTGAATTGTTAGGTTTTTATTGCTTATAGCAAAAAACCTAACAATTTAACATTAAGGATCTTTCAGACTCTTTCGATTTGCGCGACGATATGCTGTTGAAAAATCTGGACCAGAAGTGCGTCCGTTCTCTAAATGGTTGCCGAGTGACGGATGAGATATTACGCCTCGTTCCCAACATCAACAATTTCCGGTTGACGCTGCGAGCAATAAAGCTCTGGGCGAAGAGTGAGTATAGTATAAAAGACGTGTGTCTGTCCTTATGTAAGATATAAGAAGTTATACTTCATCAGCGTAACAAAAGAAAAATAACTAATCATTTTATCCCATATGCGGGTGTTTTTGTTTGTAAAAAAAGGTAATTAAATGTAATTGATATAGGTTTAATTACATAACTTGAAATGAAAGGCGAATGTCAAAAGTATTTATCGGTTTCGATGGTAACACCATGAAGTTTGTGTCGCGCGTCGTAAAATTCTCATTTTCCAGAAACGCGCCAAAAGAAGTATAAGTCAATAAATTATAAATGGATGCTGTAGGTCAGGAAGTGTATGGGTTTATTTTTTTTTATTGTAGAGGGTAAAGGCCCTTATGGTAAAGACGGTAATGGAGGTTCATTACCGTCTTTACCATAAGGGCGCATAGGGCCTGTGCACAGGGGGCCCCGCGTGGCCTACCTATTTTTTTGTCATTTACTTTTTTTCCTTTCCATCAGGACCCAAATTTGGGTGCCCTAGGGCCGATTTGTCCTAAGATGGCATTGAGTGCCACGGTTCCTAAGCTATTGGATTTTGTTCCAATCTATTGGATTGAAAAAAACAGGGTTAAACTTCTGGTTAAAAATTTTGGAAACTTCAGAGTAGATGCTTTGATCCGGTGTTAGTACATATTCTATTTGAACAATCCTTTCTATTTGATTACTCCGTGGCTCAGTTGCCAAGGCATTAATTTCGGCTCCGGAAGTCGTGGGTACGATTCCCACATGAGACGACTATTTGTGTGACCCACATATAATTATTTCGGATCGGAATGTTTGTCCGCGTGTAATTTATATAAATACTAGCTGCTGCCCGCGACTACGTCGGCGTAGAGGGGTGAAAATTTAGGGTTGTATGTATTTTTGTATGCTGTGTCATAAAAAAATAGAAACAAAAAGTTTTATATAAAAAATAAAAAAAAAATTTAGGGCTGGACTACCCCCTTAACATTTAGGGGGATGAAAAATAGATGTTGGCCGATTCTCAGACCTACTGAATACGCATATAAAATTTGGTAAAAATCGGTCGAGCCGTTTCGGAGGAGTTCAAGTTCGAACCCCGTGACACGAGAATTTTATATATTAGATAACATCATTACAACACAGGGCAAGGTTTTCGAAGGAAGTCTACAAAAGTTTTACCAGGTCGCAGTGGTCGATGGGATTTACCACCCAACCCGTTCCACACAAAATACGCAAATAAAAAAATACTCTCTCATTTCCACAGGGCATGGGATCTATTCAAACACGCTGGGCTATCTGGGCGGAGTGTCCTGGGCGATGCTGGTTGCCCGCACCTGCCAGCTGTACCCCAACGCGCTGCCGGCCACGTTGGTGCACAAGTTCTTCCTGGTCTTCAGCCAGTGGAAGTGGCCCCAGCCGGTGCTGCTGAAGCAGCCGGATACAGTGAACCTGGGTTTCCCCGTCTGGGATCCGAGGGTGAGTGAACAAAAGTGCTAGAGCGCCACACTACGGACCTTAGTACCGAATTATTACTTACTTATTCATATCTTAATGACAGGGAACAAAAAGTAATCATAAATGGTATATTGTCAACGGGGTCAAAAGTAAAAATGGGCGTTCCTCAAGGATCGATCCTGGGCCCTTTTCTGTTTTTAGTTTATATTAATGATTTGCCATATATAGTGGAAAAAAGGTCTCAAATTGTTTTGTTTGTGGATGACACTTCATTATTGTTTAAAGTTAAAAGGAAAGATGATGCACTGGAACAACCAAATGAAATACTAGATGTTGTGTCTGGCTGGTTTGCTACCAATAACTTACTTTTGAACTCCCATAAAACAAAATGTATTAGATTTACTCTTTCAAAGTTGTGTCCAATCAGGAATCTATTGATGAGAAAATCCTACCCCTTGAGGATTCAACAGCATTTCTTGGAATAAGCGTTGACTCCAAGTTGCAATGGAGATTACATGTAGATAAGTTAGCTAAGAAATTGAGCGCTGCCGTCTTTGCCATACGCAAAATCAGGCAGCTAACTAATGAGGAAACTGCAAAATTAGTTTATTATGCTTATTTTCACAGCATAATGTCCTATGGTGTCTTACTTTGGGGTTCCGCATCCGGTCTAGACACTATATTTGTATTACAAACGCAGGCTATACGGGCCGTCTATGGCTTGGGTCCACGTGAGTCGCTACGACAAATATTTAAGCAAATAAACGTTTTGACGCTCCCGTCGCTTTTCATACTTGAGAACATCATGTATGTACGTAATAACATCCACCTTTTTACGAAAAAACAATCCACATCGCGTCGGGGCCGTGGTAACACTCTGGTTGGAAGTACCGAGGTTTAGATTGGCTAAAACCAGAAAGTCGTTTCTTGGAAGATGCATCAACTTTTATAATAAAATAGGTGTCATCCACAAACAACTAAGTATAAACAATTTCAAACAATTTGTAAAAGCTACCTTAATGGCAAGGGCCTACTATAATATCCAAGAATACATAGAGGACAAGGATGTTTGGAAATGACTCTTGCTCTGCACTTGCAAGACCCCTGGCTGCTGCTGATTTTATACCCAAATAAGTGTGTATAATTGCATTAAAAAAAAAAATATATATATAACAAAAAGAACAAGACCGCAGAGTTTCTTGCCGGTTCTTCTCTGTGCAGGTCTAGTTTAGTGAACCGGTGGTAGATTTTTGTTGACGTTCAATAAGAGCTTAAGTTAGGCCTATATTGAATAAATATACTTTGACTTTGAATATAACTCCGATAATAATACACGACCCATCAGTACCGAAATACCTGCTTTGGTGTGGGACAAAAAAGTTAATGTAAAGTAACAGCCTATACATGTCCCACTGTTGTGCAATGGCTTCTGTGACCACACTGTGAATCTTCATATTGTGTAAATAATCTAGAAACTGACACAACAAAAGCATTAGTTAAAAATCATGTTAATAACTAGAGAAACGGTGGGCCTCGCAACAGTGTTGCACGAAGATCGGCGCAAAGTAGAAGTGTTGCACTTCTGCGTTTCGTCTGGTGAGTGAGGTAGCCAGGGCCCACATTATTAAGAGGTTCCCCACATTATTTAGAGGCAACGCTTCTGCAAGCCTACGGATTTTGCCAATGTCCATGGGCGGTCTTTAACACTGAACATCAGGTGAACCGCTAGCTCGTTTGCAACTTTCTCACAAAAAAATAATTCGCCACTGACTATATGCTACAGTAACTCTCTCAAATTGCCGTTGTTGATTAATCAAAAAATTTGATTGCTGATTCGTGGCAGTCATAGGCAGAAATGTCGATGATGATGATGATAAAAAAAAGATATTGCAATATCGATTAATTCCGCAGGTGAACGTTTCGGACCGGTTCCACTTGATGCCGATCATCACGCCCGCCTACCCGCAGCAGAATTCCACGTTCAACGTGTCGGCGTCAACGCGCACCGTCATCATGGAGGAGTTCCGTCTCGGTAACTATCTGAAACACTCTTTACTCCCACTGGATCACGCATTGCGTGTATGGTCTTATGTATGAAAGTGGATGAGGTGAGAGTTATTGATAAAAGTTTCATCATGGAGGAGTTCCGTCTCGGTAACTATCTGAAACACTCTTTACTCCCACTGGATCACGCATTGCGTGTATGGTCTTATGTATGAAAGTGGATGAGGTGAGAGTTATTGATAAAAGTTTCATCATGGAGGAGTTCCGTCTCGGTAACTATCTGAAACACTCTTTACTCCCACTGGATCACGCATTGCGTGTATGGTCTTGTGTATGAAAGTGGATGAGGTGAGAGTTATTGATAAAAGTTGTTCCATTCAGTTGTTCATGTAATACTACCTATGGGCCACTTTTTTTTGTATCGGATGGGAAAATCTTCGAAAGATACCCTGTCATTATATGACAGGGTTATGTGGGGTTCTTACCCTCTAAAACCACCACGGTGGCCAACTTTTGTACGTTTGGAGGGACCCCGGGATCTCCTCAGAGCGAGCACGCCTCGGAGAAGGGTAAACCTTCCCATCGCCATCTTGCCGCAGCTGGAGGCCTCTTCGAGCTGCTGCCAATCCGTGTCCCCTTTTAGTCGCCTTTTACGAAAGGCAGGAGATACCTTAGTCCTATTCTATGAGCCCGGGACTACAGGGCTGACCTATGGGCCACCTAGCAGCTCGTTACAAGTGTTATACTTTCGCGTTTCGTCTTGTGAGTGACCTAGCCGGGGCCCACGTATTTTAAAGGTTGTCAACGTATCTGCAAGCCCTCGGGTATTGTAAACGTCCATAATTACTTGATGGTCGATCAGGTGAACTGTCTGCTCGCTTGACAACTTTTCACAAAATAAAAAACATCCAGATCGCCGTTTTATTCCCGCGTGGGGATCCAATTCACGTATTTACCGCAAAACAACAAAAACATTTTTTGATACCTGAATTCTTCTATTTCATTTGGAGAATTTTCAAAAAATCTATTTAAGAAAAGTTAAGTGCTAAGTGTAGGCGTAAAAGTATTAAACTATGAAATTCCATCAAAGAACGGTATGTCTGTAGAAAAAACGCATTTGCTTATTTATGCACTTCATTGCATTGCAAGTAACTTGGATTGTGATTGCAATGAATTGATAATATCTTTTGTAATACTGACAAAGATGTAATGTTCAACACTATTGGAATAATATAATTCTTAACAATATAGTGAATGTCTTGTATTTTTGTCTTCTAACTTGTTTGGTGCAATAATGACAATTTTTATTAAGTATTATTTATAGTACAGATCATTGATGTCTTCACTTCCGAACGTTGAGACATCCTGTTGGTAAATATATCTGAAAACAATTTGCGAATGACCACTGAAAACGACTGTGACTTCCGCTTTCAATATCTTATCAATCAGCAAAAGACACCTTTACTCTAAACACGCTTTAAACAGCCACTTGTCTTTATGTGATTTTCGAAACAAAGCTTTCTTAATATCTTAATTTGGTATAAGGTTATTTGGAAAGGCAAAACAGATATCCCAATATTTTGTTGCTTATAATTTTATTATTAAAACTTTTACTCAGAGAGAGCTATGTAAATTAGAGCAAACATTAAATTATTAAATTTACATAGAGCCATAAATAACGAGACTGACTGAGACAGCCTAAGACTGAATGACATTTATATTTGTATTTTGTGTGGAAGGGATTTGTTGGGAAGGGAGTGAGTCCTAACGACCACTGCAACCTAGAAGATCTATTGTTGTCTACCCTACGTAAACATTGCCCCTTACATTAGGATAAAATTTTTACATACATAAATTTCCAGACAAACACCCAGATCCGAAACAATTATATGTGGTTCACACAATTAGTTGTCCCGCTTAGGGATAGACCCCCGGTGTCTAATCCAAAACCTTGCAACTGCGATATTTGAAATACCCATATTTACAAATGCATTATTTTTAATATATTTGATTTATCTGGGTACAGGTCTGGCGATAACTGATGAAATAATGCTGGGAAAGTGCACCTGGGAGCGTCTATTCGAGGCGCCGAATTTCTTCTCGCGCTACAAGCACTTCATTGTGCTGCTGGCATCGTCAGCCAGCCCAGTAGACCAGCTGCAGTGGTGCGGTCTCATCGAGAGCAGAATCCGACATCTCATCAGTGAGTATTCTTCACCTATCCTCTATATATTTTGGACACAAAAGGCCTAAATGGCATGTATATCTGTCTTTCTGTCTGAAGATTACGCCTTCAGCCTATTCTACGCAGACATAGTCGCGGGCAGCAGCTAGTAGTATAATAAAATGAGTTAAGATTCTTCTGATTATGGCAAAGCAAGTAATGTATGTAGTTACAAGTTTTATATGATTAAGGGATTATAAATATAAAGATAAAATTACTGGATCTGCTCCAGAGGAGGCACATACCTGTGTAAGGCCACGGTTGCATTTCTGCAATTCTACAGCATCAAAGCCCACGCTTTTTAAATGTTGGCAATGCATCTGCTGGTGTTGGATTTCGATGGATGTTGATGATGCCTGATCGGGTTTTGACTTTGCTATATTTTCAGACGAGAAAAGTTTCTTTACCAATTATAACGAGATTAAATTTCAGAATTAACAATTTCATAACGAGACATACACCTTTATCAGAACGAGACATACACCTTTATTCGCTGTGCCTAAATCATCAAGAAGGCATGCACAAAATTCTATCGCAAACCGCTTAAAACATACATATAACAACAAATTTCGCTCAGTTGATATTTTCCATACTAGCAAGATAGCATTCAAAAGGGATATACTGCAAATTTTAACACAAGAAAAGTCAAATTAATACACACACACACACACACACACACACACACACACACACACACACACACACACACACACACACACAAACGCACGCGCACGCCCGCACGCACCCACGCACGCAGGCACGCACATGCACACGCACACACACACGCACACGCACAGATGCACACACGCACGCACGCACCTCAAACGCGCGCGCGAATGCATGCACGAGGTGTGCGCGCCTCAGCTTGCTTTACATTTTTATTGTTTTACTTGTTTTTTTTTTTCTCATTTTAGATATTTCCGTGTTTACTTAAACTGATTACTCATAAACTGATTACTCATAAACTGCTCAATTATTATTGTATATATATATTCTACCTATAAAATGTAAATCCTTTCTTGTCTGTAAGTTAAGAATATCTGATGTACATGTAAACAACTAAAGGCTGTGGATTTTGTTGCTCAATAAAATAAAAATAAAATAAATATTCTATTTATTACAGCTACATTGGAGAGGAACCAGCACATCACTATAGCGCACGTGAATCCCGAGTGTTACAACTCGGTGCCCCTCAACACCAACAACGGGCAGCCTTTAGCAATGCCACCCGGTATGTACTACAATATCGCAATGTATTGTTTATTTAATTTAATTTAACCTGTGAGACTAATATAATAGTATTTGTATTAGCCATTTCAAGTATGGGGCCAACTCCAAAAGGAGGAGACCGTACTGTATCACTATAAATGTTGCACATAGAGCCACACACTTAAATTTATTTACACTACTAAAAAACAAGCCGTGATAGCTCAGTGTCCGGGCGCTCGCCTTTAATTTAATATTCTCGAGCAACCTGAGTTCGATCCCCGATGCTAGCACGAATGAAATTGTCAATTTTAAGTGCTGAATTATCACGTATGTATTATCATAAATATACCACAGATACAAGAAAGAAATAAAATGTAAATAATTAACAAGAAAAAGGATGGACACAAAAAATAGAGATGAAAAGTTTTTTCTGTTTCTTGAATGGGCATCATGTCCGGGGAAGCGCTGCATCATCACAAAATATACAATGGTACGGAAATCCATTAACTATAGTAGATATCTGAGAGCATTGGTTATCATTCAATGTCAGGTTAACTGACACAATCAACGCTTGTTTAAAAAAATACTCAAGATATACTAATACTCCATAACTTCATTATGTATTAGCCAGAAGATTATTTTTATGGTATCGCTTCTAGCAATAAAGTAAGTATAACAATGATATACATGTAGGCTGATAATATATACAATAAAAAATAGTATCCAGGTATTATTTAAAAAATTAAAAAAGGGATTATGCCCACCACATAGAAACCTCATATTTTTACACAGAGTAAGTAAGACATGGAATATTTGAAAGTATTCAGCATGCCCCAATTTCTATACACGCCGTAACAACAATCTTGGTAAGGTTTTTTTCCTAAACTTTTCTATTCATCATCCTCTGCTTCTTGTCCTCTAATCTTCTGCGTCCCTCTGTTTTCTGCTTAAAATCACAGACTTCACACCTGGTCATTATGTTTCACCACCATATATTCTCAACTGCATAAAAGAACCAATCCTTCGCAACAAAAGCTTACAATTAGAATTATTTACAAAAAAACATTTCTATTCACGAAGTTACTACTTCTTGAAAATCTTCATCAAACCAAAACAGTATAAAAAACATTATAATTAAACTTAACATAAATTTCAATTGCAGGCGCTTTACTACCCACCGATCCGGCCCCCGAGATCAAAAAGAATGAATTGGTAAGTATATGGATAATGGCTATACATGATGGCTTTTCTAAAGGTGCCCAAATTCACACAGGAGGTTCAGACTAGGTAGTATAATCGTTTATTGAAATAAAAACAAACTTTTTTTTTTTTTCACAAAACTTCTATTCCCTAAAAAACAGAACTTATTGACAATGCGGTTGTAATTCATAACTGCGCCGAATACTTTTGAAACGAACTTGTGTGCGTGTTAGTTATGAATGATCGCGCGTAAAATAAATAAGTTGAGCATAAATCACACACTTTTTGAGATAACTACAAATGAATGTAATTAATTAATTACGAGTACAATATTTATCATTATTTTATATAACATTATTTATGTCTAGAATTTAATTAAAAAAAATGGATACACTTAAAAAGTCTCCCTGTATATAACTATGGAACGGTATGGAATTGATTACAAGCACCCATTGTTAAAATTTGTAGAAAAAACTTCGCCGCTTCGGATACGCTTTAACTAATAAGCCAAACGGTTAATTGCCACACCACACCGAAGATTATCATAACGTATTTTATCTACTTTGTTTTTTCTCATTTTGAGCAAAGCTTGGCGCATCTATTTTTATCTCCTTTACAGCACACAAAAGATTCAAAATATCATTTTACATCGATAATTCGAACAAGAAATGTGGCTGTTGCTATTTGAAATTAACATTTTTATAGTCCTAATCTCTGCACTCAAGATGAAACAGTACTGTGTTTATTGTCTCATAAATGTTCCAATCGATTTGTAACCATGTATATACATGCTTAGCATTGAAAATTACTTTCATAAGGATACCTTAAATTCTACGGTGGTAGGGCCACGCAGCAGCCTCGGCTGTTGCACGATTGGGCAGGCCCGTTCGGGTTAGTACCACGACCTCACAGAAGACCGGCGTGAAGTGGAAGTATGACAAATACTTTCGCGTTTTGTCTGGTGAATGAGGTAGCCGGAGCCCAATTTTCTAAAGGTTGCCAACGCATCTGTAACCTTCGGGTGTAGCAGATGTTCATAGGCGGCGTTATTCACTTAACATCAGATGAATCGTCAGCTCGTTTGGCAACTTTTTACATAAAAAAATAATAATAATTTATAAAAACTGCTTAAAATATTTAGGGTCTGCCAATGCTGGTACTTCACTTACACATTTTAGGAAAGACTGCCCTGAAAATAAAGTAAATTCGACTTGTCAAAATATTCCCTCTTGTGGGCATAATGAAACTGAAACGTTATATGGTAGTCAAAAATTAAAAATTTCGTGTTTCATTTACCGTATAGGCACATTAGTTTCCGGTATGTTCAAACTCCACTGCTGGGTAAAACCTACTCTGCATAAAGGGTACATGTCTGACTGCTGGGCAAAGGCTTTCACTGTATAGAACATATCAGGGCATTGGCTTATTTCATATACCTTCGAATTTTTTTTGTTGTTATTTCGAAAACATGCTGCTTTCCTCGCGATGTTTACCTTCATAAGAGCAGGCGATAAAATTAACAATTTCATTGGCGCCGGCACCAGGCATCGAACTTAGGTTGCTCGAGTAAATTGAATTAAAGGTGAGCGCCTGGACACTGAGCTCTCACGGCTCTTATTGAGAAGTGGTTCAATATTGCAGAATATAGTAGCTAACAGTTGTTCTGTGAATGTTCATATGGGCTCATGTATAGAATTTGGTTTAATCCACGAAGAGATTCAGATTCATTACAAAAGTGAACTTGTGTTTGAGATTAGTTCTTTGTTTCATTCTTCAGTCATGAACTACCTCCAGTTTTAAATGTTCTCTGGTTGATATCAGTGAAATTATGGAAGTTTAGAGAAAATCTATTTCTATAGATAAATAAAATTGGAGTGTCTGTTTGTAGTATTAAAATAACTACCCGGTACATATACCAAAATAAATCTTTTTACAATTTTTGTCTTTCTAGCACAAACCACAATGATTTTGTATTATTTTAATTTAGATTAAACAATTTTTTGTCACTTCACAACAATGTCAATAGAAATATTAATAGTTAAAACCGAGCAGCAAGTTCAGGGCACCAATCTTACTTTGACTAACGAATAAACTCTCAACGATCCAACTCGATCAATCTCTTTCACTCCAATGTGTGTCCCAAAACTTAAGGCTCCCTTGAGTAAAGATGGCGCCTCGACCCCACTCGAGACATGTGCTCTGCTCTGGTTGGTTGTTACGTGGTTCACAATATTCGTAACTTTTATTACATTACTAAGGTTTTAAGTTATAGAAAAAGTAACAAATAAAATAAAATAAAGCCTTTTAAAAATAATTAAAATGTAAACATAATATTATGCGTTATACACGAAAACACATATTTTCCTCGACATATACATACATAATATATGTGTGAATTTTATGTTTTCATTGTCAATAAATAAATGTTAACCATGAAAACATATGAACTAGTATTTATCTATTAAACCAAGAGGTATTTATGTATAATATTTATAAACGCTGTGGGATTGGAGCCTTGTAAGTATAAATATTATGCTAAATTTGTACATATAATAATGTTTTTAACTCTTACTAGGCAAGGTTGGCACAATTAAATAAAGCTTGTCAAACACTAATAGAAATTTGTTACAGATTATGAACAAAAATAATTCTTAAGTCCGCCATGTTTACGGGATTTTATACATAATATATATCTTACAATAAACTGTATAAAGCAATTTTAATCAAAACATCTTCCGATCTTTATTAATATTATCTAGTATATATTTAGTCAGCGAATGATTATAGTTAAAATTTTTCTTCATGGTGAAATTGTAAAAGTAATAAATTCCATTTAGTTGAAAAGACTGGAACTAGCTTTCCTCTCCCGTAAATATTGCGATAAAGCAAATATCTCTCTGGCTACAGTGAATGGTGGAATAAAGGAACAAAATTGTTGTTCACGCGGAAGCTGCAACACAATCCAAAGCCTATTACCGTGTATCGTATGGTAAAAGCGTACCTTTTTTTCCATCATTTGTATCAGGCGTAATTCTTCGAGAGATAGCCTGTCACCTTACGTGACAAGGTTTTGTGGGGTTCTTACTCACTAAAACCCCCTCGGTGGCCACCTGTACATTTGGAGGGACTACGGAATCTCCCATTGGTACTACGCCTGAGCACGCTTCGGAGAAGGATAAACCTTTTCCGATTCCCTCACCCTCTTGCAGCAGCACGAGACCACTTCGTGCTGCTGCCCATCCGTGTCCCCTTTTACGACAGGCAGGGGATACCTTAGCCCTATTCTATGGGCCCGGGACTACAGGGCTGTTGGTAAAAGCGTACCTATCGACTTCTGCCGCTTCCCAAAGATGTCGCTGTAGTCGGGCCTCGTCGTGTTGCAGGGCGAGGTGATCGCGAACCACTGCTCCATGTGGTTCATCGGGCTGGTCTTCGAGAAGACCAACGTGAACGTGGACCTGACCTACGACATCTCCTCCTTCACCAAGGCGGTCCACTACCAGGCGGAGAACACCAGTATGCTCCGAGAGGGGATGTCCATCGAGGTGAGTTAATAGAAAACTTCAATCTATTTGCTCGTCCCTGTATATTTATTGGGTATCAATATGTTTTTAGTATGTGGAAACAGGGTTCTGTCACCGGTCTACTGGTAATTTCGTCAACATCATCATTTCAGCCTGTTTGAATCCACCGCTCCCACATGGACTGCTACAAAGTACGATCCTGAGCCACCTGCATCCATCGAATTTGAGACAGTAATAGAATTATTAAGAATTATTTAAGTGACACGATACCCAACATTGCCTCTGCTTCAACATGTCATGAAATGACTCATTTAAACATTTTTAGACTTTTGTATATAGAGTAAGCAGTTCACCTAGTGACAGTAAAGTTATCATTTGTTTTTATGTTAAGAAAACAAACTTAACATCTCACAGATTTTCAAAGGCCACTTTGAATATCATTTAAGTGAAAAAAGTAAAGTAACAGCATATATTTATATATTGATGTCCTACTGCTGAGCAAAGGCCTCTATACACTATAGACTACAGAGGGTATTAGGGCATAGTCCACCAGGCGAGCCCGCTGCAAATTGGCGGACTTCACATATCTTCGAAATATTTTTTCTGTTATTATATCGAAAATATGCACTTTTCCTCACGATATTTTCCTTCACCGTCGCGCACGTGATAATTCAGCACTTACAATTAACAATTTTATTGGTGCAGGCAACGGAGATCGATTCGAGGCTCGAATATATTGAATTAAAAGCGAGCGCCCGCTCAATAAGCTATTGCGACTCGTACACACAGCATCTAAGTTTAGAGCAATTTATTTATTTAATCTTTATTGCCAACCTTCAGTAAAAAAAGGTAACAAACTTAATGCCCAAAGGCTATTCTCTACAAGTCAACCCAGGATGTGGTGAGAGTTTATGCAGTGAGAGCAATTGGTTATTTTCGTCTGAAATCTCTGCGCACGCCATTGGTGCGACGTGTACGTAAAGTGCGTTTGTGCACCGCAGGCCCGCCACGTCCGCCGCAAGCAGCTGCACCAGTATCTGTCGCCGTCGCTGCTGAAGCGCGAGCGGACGGTTTCGGGGGCGAAGCGCCGCCCCGCCGAGCCTGCGCCCCCGGGCGCTGCGCCCTCCAAGCGCTTGAGGAAGATCTCCGACAGCAGCGTGAGTTATGGGAAACCATAAGGCACATTCATCACAAACAAACGAGCTCTCGCGTCTTTTACCACTAGCAGAGAAGACGGAGATAGTTGAAGCTTTATATGTTCCATACCAAAAGATTCATATCTCTGACAGCAGCGTGATCTGACGGGCAACATTTACCACGAACAAATAAGCTCTCACGTCTTTTAACACTAGCAGCAGAGTAGACAAAAGTTAGCTGAAGTTCTATACATTCCAGTGATTGTATATAGTACCAAAAGTAATGTCTCTGACAGCAGCGTGGGTTACGGCACGCTATAAGCCACATTCACCACGAACAAATATTCTCTCTTGTCTTTTACCACTAGCAGAGTAGACGGAGATAGTTGAAGCTTTATCCATTTCAGTGATTTTATTTAGTACCAAAAGTTTCATATCTCTGACAGCAGAGTGAGTAAAAAATAAATAGGCTCACATCTTTTACCACTAGCAGAGTAGATGGAGTTAGTTAAAAGCTAACACATTTCATAAGCTTCAACAAAAAAGCTAGTAGAGTAGACAGAGATAGTTAACCATTTGCACATATCGGTGATGGTATTTTATTTTAGTCCTTGTCATTTTCATATGTACCAGATATATTTCTGGATGGCATTTGTAGCTTGAACATGAATACTTATATAAATAATATTATTTAACACAGGTAATGTTACTAATATTCATATAAACATTCCATTTATAATTCTCAGGCGGACGAAGTGAGCGTGTTGTCATACAACGAGGACTCCAACTCGTCGAACATGTACGAAGTAAACCTCCAGAATGGAGTTGCTCCAGCACAGCAGACCGCTGAGCCATCAGAACAGGCCAGGAACAAGACGGACAAGCCCATCCAGCCCACAGAGCACCCCTCCACGTCGAACAGTATAGCCTGTACGTAGCAGTACGAACAGTGGCGTAACCGGTTCATATTCGGAACCAGTAACGTCAAAATCAACAGAGTGAAGCGCGCTTAGACATTATGTTGTGTGTGCTAAGAGAAACAACTGCAATTTCCCCGTGTGTCAGTGTTGGATTATGGTATCGTTATGAATTGTGATTCTAGTGTAAGAAAGGAAGTGACAATTGAATATTACTGGTGCAATCACTGTGATTTTGCCTAGTTGTGGAGTGCTCTGTGGATTTTTGTATTGGTAAGTTGGATAATATATGTAAATTAATAGTTTGCTCTGTGTTGTTGAGTTACAACAGAATTTTGATGGGTTTGTGAAAAAATTTGAGTGCGAGTTTGATAAATTGGTACTTATTTGATGTGATGAAGTGACTAACTGGGTTTATAAGTGGGAGCTTTATAATTTTGTGATAAAAATTTTGAGGCTCTCTCTTATTGAAAGTTGGATGCTGTTTGGTTTGATCTCACTTTTATACCTTGCTTGCTGTATTGTACAGCTGGCTAAACCGTTTATTCACCTTGCATCTCAAATTGATCTATGGAGGACATGGAGATGGAATCAAGTTTTATATTTATTCACGCCGCGTTCAGATGTTGGAGGCGACTTTTTACGAATATCTGTAAGTAGGGCTAGGACCTTTGATATTGTCGAAAATTTTGCGAAAAAAAAGTTAGGATAAGTGTATTTTGTAAATTGACTATGAAGGTCTTTGTGTTTTTTCTTTATATTTAATTGCAGGTCGTCAACGGATGGACGAAATGCGATCGCAAGTAAGTTCTGTTCACTAATATGTAGGACGATATTTTTAACAGACCTTTACAGGGAAACTATTGATAATTGTTTTTCTCAACAAATAGAGAAATATATATGTAATAAGTACGCACCATTTTACATTGGTGTTTTTAAGATAAATAATCTTAAACACTACAGTATGACTGGGTTTTTTTTAATATATAACATTCACTGTAGGTGTTGAAATTTGAATGGTTCTTCCCTGCAAAAGGTCACACAGTACAAAATGATGTTTTTATAAAATGTTTTCACTTAGCCAGGTATAGTTATGATGGATATTGCCATTAAATTTTGCAAATGCCTAGATATTGTACTTCTGGATCATAGCTTCTACTAACTTATATACATTGCATCCATCATTTCCTGTTTATGATGAACAATTTGTTACAATAAATTTATGATGAACATTCATAATAAAAGTTCTCTTTTCTTTCATAACCTCTTACAAAATTCATTGTTACTATTGTCCATTTCTATAGGAATGATTGTTTTTGGTTTCCTTTCTCTAATTGCACAATTGTCTGTTAAGCTGTTTACCAAACATGTATCAATGTTTAAAGTAATATTGATATTAATATTATTTTAGGCCCAAATATCAACATTTTAATTAAAGCTCCCTCAAACCAAACTGAATGTTGTGTTAACTTTATTATTGTTAAGCTTTAATGGACCATTGTGTATGAAGCAAAGAATTCAAACATGTTTTGCTTTTCATACACAAAAAGATTTTTATCAATTGGTTCATTTGTCATGTTGATTTTTTGTAATGCTTTTGATTACAACTTCAAATTTCAACAATTTGTTTAAAATATTTTATTAACATCCTTCTCTTTCATTCTATAGAGGTTTACCTTTGTGAAAATAATCTGATGAGCAAAATTCCTACTTAACTCTATAGTAACCCCTTTTCTGTCTGTTCAAGGAATAAATGGCTAGTTTTGATAATGGAGAAAGTTTGATAGTCTGTATTGTTTTATGATAACTTTATTTATTTTGTACAATTCATTTCAGACATTACACGTTACATACGCCTTACGCCCTTGCCATAATTATGCCATAATTACGATAAATGTTTCATTCACATTCAGCAAATGAAATAAAAAAAAAGAAAGTTGAGACAAATTGTACATCAGTACTGCATTACCTCTTTTACCAAAGCAACAAAACATAGCCTGGAGCATTGTATATAAGCTATTTAAAAGTACAGACAGTACCAACAACATGTTTTCTCTGCTCAATCGTTCAATTTATAATGTTTGCGGTCTTCAATGCACTTCAATGCTAATCTAAAACCAATGACAACCAAAGTCTTGGGCTGCACTCCCAGGGTCTTTGTTGTTTGGAATTCATTTTGTGCCAATCAATATCTATGAATGCAGCTTTCTTTATTTCATCAGTCATGACTTAATCTTTATGATTAAAATATACGATTTTGAGGTTCACTTTTTTTGTCTGTTGGCAAAAATACGTAAATCTCATCCTTATACTAACTGCAAATTTGAAGCAAAATTAAATTAAACATTGATAGGACTATGAGTACTCGTAAGCTTTATCAAACACGAATTATTTCCTTTAAAGTCTCTGTTTAAATAAATTTTCCAAAAGTATTATGTAATCAAATATTATGTTTAACATTGTTTGTCTCTAGTGTATAAAAAATATTGAGAATAATGCTATTAAAGATATACAGCGTGTCGTTACCATCGCGACAATAAATGAACACACGTCTTACGCTACTTGCCAATAATCATAAAAAAATATTAACGTTAAAAAATCCATAATTAAAATATTTTTTTTTTTTCAAACAAATTGATTAAGTAAAAAAGAAACAAAATTTGTAACATCCTATACAACTAAAACTGACTGATTCATACATTCAGAGACTTCATTCGTTGCCACAGCGTCGCATTACAAGCCTCTCCTTCTAACAGTATGTTTTGTTGAATGAATACAAAACATACACCCATTCATATGCTTTGTGACCTTTACAAATGAACTTTACGTTACAGTTTTATAGGTAAGGCTGTTCTAAAATTCTTTGTTTTGGAAAATTTAATAACTCTGTAAATATTGATGTTTAAAGAATGTAAATGTTTAATACAATTTTAAAAAGTTATCCCCTATGTGTGTTCATTTATTGTCGCGATTGTAAAGACACGCTGTATGTAATATGCTTATTACTAAAGCTTAACTCCCAATACTCTCCTCATGATCTTCACTCCTTTTACAAAAAATGGTATTTATCAGTTTTGTTTTACAGAATATATGATTAGTGAATGTAGGTATAGATAAATCAGCTTGGAGACGTTTTTGCATTTGTAGCATACATCGTGACTAAAACTGGAATAAATTAGTTTATGCTGGCCGCCATATCCGTCACACTCGCATAAATGATGCGAGACGCTTATGAATATTGTTAGAAATGTAATGCCATTTTTTTTGTTTATTCATTTCTTAATTAGTAAGAAAATAATTTCTTTAAAATTCACAATAAACGTAAAGGAAATTTTATTTCATAATTACTATACATGAATGGAGATTTTTTCTGAAGAGGAAAAGAAATCTTAAGGTACATACAAGGCTGTACTATCTTGTATATACAAATAGCGAGGGTTTGGATCACTATGAGATATCTGTAGTATAAAAGTTATGTTTAATATTAAATGCCCTTAAACTTATTCAAGTTTTGTTAATATCTTTATCTGTTAACCATACACTGCAAAAAAAGTCTCCAATTGGATTCATCTTCAACATATGCAACTGCGACATTTTATAAGTTAAGACTAAGTATTGCACTAATTACATAAACCTAAAATTGACAATCACCTTTAAGAACTCACAATTGCTCTATAGCAATAGTTATTACTCTTTGTATATATATATAAAATACTTTTTAACTATGCAGACTTAAGCTAAGAAAACATGTTGCAAAACATATTCTTAATTCCAGAATACAATATTTATAACCTTTTAAATTAAAACAAACAAAAGAATGATTCCACCTAGATAATAAGACTCAAGTGTAGTTATTTTAAGGACCTTCTAAAATAATATGTAAGTTGTATATATCCATAGCCAATTGATTATTATTATATATGAAGATATATATCTGGAAAAAATTGATTTAAAATTGAAAAAAAAAAAAGGAATAAATGTATATACAAAAGATGAAACTTGTTTTATTATGGTACCCAGTGAGGGCCGATGTATGCATAAAACATGAACAACACTCAGTTTATTACCTTGAACAGGACAATGTATTTGACAGTGATAATTACTGGTTCAAGTATCCTAACCAAGAAAGGGAAGTTACAATGGAATCCTAAATAAAAATATATAGGTATATAATAGAAACATTTATATAATTTAAAAAAAAGTTTGATCACATTTTATTTCATCTCATAAATGTTAAGCAATAAGTTAAATAATAATAAATATTGCAAATCCAGTAAGCATTAGCAACACCCATTAGACGCTTTAACATTCTGGAACAAATAACATTAGGTAATATTAAAACAAAAAAAGGATTCAATAAAACCTATAAACTAATTTTAATCAATAGTGGTTGGAAAGAACAATTTTTTTGTAGTCCTGCTTAATTTCAATAAGAACATACCTTCTTTTGTTTATGCAACTACTTTACATTAGACGATAAAATTTGTAAATGATCATATAAGTCATTAAATGACTTGTCTAATATTTGACCATAGTGGTAATTATAAGATTTTTTCTCTTTATCTCCGTTTACAGGATAGAGACAAAAACCTACCTAATCTTGCCCATTGTCCGCCTCCTTCTGAGCAGCCTGCAACTCCAATATCTCGTTTTGTATGGACACGCTCAGCTCTTGTATGGGAACGGGTTCTGTTCGCCAGAATACATTCTGATGTTTACTCGTACGATTTCGTCGCTTGTGCGTTTTGAGATGCACCTGAGAAGTATTGGTGTGTTGTTAAGTATAGCTGTTATAAGATTCATATGAAGACAAGGTTATTCTTATTTGAGAAAGATAATAGCGCTGCGTTGGTAAATTAACCAAATAGTGACTAAAAGAAGAAAAGCTAAGAGACTTTGAGGAAGGAAGCCTTAGTCCAAAGTCAACAATGACAAAAAGTTTTGAGAAAGGTTCATCTTCTTTAAAGTCCATTTTGCATATGACTCAAATTGGAATAAAAGTAAAAAACCATGAACATTGTACTGCCTCAGAAAAACGCTATCTTTTTGTTCCACTTTCAGTCTTTGACAATGGATTGCCACCAAAACTAGTGATTGGCTGTAATCCACTTATAGTAATAATAACATTTTATAACAAGATTCGGAATCAGTGCCCTTAACGAAACTGTATTACTCAATTTCCATGTAGGGTCGCGGGTTCGATTACCACACGGGACAAGTATTTGTGCTACCTACACTTAATTGCTCCAGATCTGACTTTAAGCAGGCGGCCGGTCGTAGAAACAAACTCTGGCCAGTACCATTAACGACACGATTCACGTGTCATTTATTTTATGGAAGAACTAGCGACTCGACCCGGCTTCGCACGGGTGCAATGCTGAATGTTTGTTTTCGACATCGCATTAGAAACCTCTAAAATTATCAGTATTTCTCTACTCTATTATGCATGAATTATACATATAAACCTTCTACCTGAATCACTCTATCTATTAAAGAAAATCAAAATCCGTTGCATAGTTTTGAAGATCTAAGTATGTATAGGGACAGATAGACAGCGGGACGACTTTGTAGTGTTACTACAACGTAGTGCTACTACTATATGTAGTACTCCGTAGTGAAGAGGCAACCGAGCAAGCGTGTCGCCAGATGATAAGCGATCATCGCATTCAATGTAGGTCAGTTGAGGCGACACCTGGTGGTATAACGGCAAGAGGGGGAAGAAGGAAAAAAGGCTGCCAACCTTCCGCACGTGCGTGTTGACCATAGAGCGCAGGTGGAAGAGCGCCGGGCAGAGGGGGCAGCGGCGGGCGGGGGCGGTGTGGGCGCACACCGCGTGCTGGTTGCGCCTGTTCAGCGACACGAAACCGCGCCCGCACACCTAATGGCAACACGCGTACACTGACACTGTAATCTAAATACGTGGCTGCTGCCGAATCTATACAGGGTGCCCAAATTCACACAGGAGGTTCAGACGCGGTAGTATAATCGTTTATTGAAATAAAAAACAAACTTTTTTGTTTTCAAGAAATTGCCATTCTTTTCCCTAAAAAACAGAACTTGTTGACAATGCAGTAGTCATACATAAATGCGTCGTATACTTTTGAAACGAACTTGTGTGCGTTTTAGTTATGAATGATCGCGCGTAAAATAAATGAGTTGAGTATAAATCACACACTTTTTGAGATAAATTCAAATTAATGTAATTAATTACTTACGAGTGATTTTAAATATTAATCATTTTTATATAACATTTAATATAAAAAAATGTATACACTTAGAAAAGCCTCCCTGTTTATATCTATATATATAAAAATGGATTGCTGTTCGTTAGTCTCGCTAAAACTCTAGAACGGCTGGACCGATTTTGCTCATTTAGGTTTTGAAATATTTGTGGCAGTCTAGGGAAGGTTTAAAAGATTAGAAATTATGGAGAAATTGTATGGAAAATCTAAATAGCAACGATTTTATTTTCCCGTACAAACTGTTCCTACCTGTCATACATTTTATGCGTGTGTTCCGAAAATTGTTTTTCTATGTGTTCAGATGCACATATTCCCTAGAAATAATTTATACGGCAAAACAAAGTTTGCCGGGTCAGCTAGTTATTGCATAAAAACAGGTATACCAACAACAAAGTACCTTACGAACGTATATATTAATTTTTATGTTAAATTCAACGTTTCATTAGAACGCGCAAGCGTCTATTTGAATAAAGATATTTAGAGTTTTGAAAGATATTGAATTATGAAAAAACTACTACTCCAAGCACACAAGTTATCCGTTGTTGTGTTAAACTTGCCACTCCTCATGTTACTAATATACAAATTTATCCACTGGAATAACAGCCTTGTTACTAACAATATACCGTATGTATCCGAAATAATATACAGCGTGTCTTTACCACCGCGACAATAAATGAACACAAATATAGAGGATAACTTTTTAAAATTGTATTAAAGATTTACATTCTTAAAACATCAATATTTAACGAGTTATCAAATTTTCCAAAACAAAGAATTTTAGAACATCCTCACGTATAAAACTTTAATGTAAAGTTCATTTGTAAAGGTAACAAAGCATATGAATGGGTTTAATGAATTTAAAGGAGACAAATATACTGTTAGAAGGAGATGCTTGTAATGCGGCGCCTATGGCAACGAAGGAAAACGTCTCTGAATGTATGAATTAGTCAGATGTAGTTGTGTTAAAAATTTTGTTTCTTTTTTACTTAATTAGTTTGTTTGAAAAATATTTTTTTTAAGTTATGGATTTTTTTTATGTTTATTGGCAACTAACGTTAGACGTGTGTTCGTGTGTTCATTTATCGTCGCGGTGGTAAAGACACGCTGTATATTATTTCGAGATACATATAAATATATGTATATTTTAACCTATTGAAAAAGATAACAGCACCAGTCATAATAGGCAAGATCTGAAGTTAAGATAACTGCTACACAAGTTCATCTAGTTGAAAACGGCACCGGATAGATTTTTCACTTCTTCACCAAATAAAAAGAAATCCGCGAGAGAAACAAAACCTTACATCGCACACATAGGGCCTCTCGTTTGTATGCAGCCGCTGATGCCACATGAGTGATCGCTCATCGACGAAATTTCGCTCACACGTTCCACAGCAAAACTTTTTGCTCTTCTTCACTTTTTCCTCGTCCTCTTTGGTCTTCATTTTGTCTGTCTGCTTCCTGTTATTGAAGATGTTAATAAACAGAATTTATAGTCAACATAAGTAACTGTAAGTGTAAGTTCCACACTGACGGAGTGTTGATATATTTCAAAGTCAAAGTCAAAATTTCTTTATTCAACATAGGCTTATTTTAAGGTCTTATTGAACGTCAAAAACTGCCACCGGTTCACTAAACTAGACCTGTGAGAGAAGAACCGGCAAGAAACTCTGTGGTTATTTTTTTTAAAATATTTAAGTATATACAAAAATATTTTAGTATAATTTAGCAGGAGCCAGGAGACTTGAGAGTGAGTGAGCAAGAGTCATTTCCACACATCCTTGTCCTCAATGCATTATATATTATTATTCCACGACATTATTATAGGCCCTTTCCATTAAGGTGGCTCTTACAAAATGTTAAAAATTATTTACACTTAATTGTTTGTGGATCTCACCTATTATATTATATAAGTTAAATAAGAAACAATATCCTGGTTTTAGCTACTCTATACCTCAGTATTTCCAACGGCCCCGACGCGATGTGGTATGTTTTTTTGTAAAAAGATGTATGTTATTTCATACATACATAATGTTCTCAAGTATGTATAGCGACGGGAGCGTTAAGATGTTTATTTGTTTAAAAATATTTATGTATGTAAAACAATTACTTGTCATCACTGTTCATGTGCATTTCGTGCTTCTTTATGTGCATTTCGAAACTTATCTCGCCCTTGTACATGCGGCCGCAGTAGAAGCATGTGTACTTCTTCACGTGTTTCTTGTCGTTGTGCTCTTTCAGGTGTTCCTCGTCCCTCAGTACTAGTCCGCAAATCTCGCAAATATGGGCGCCTTCCCTCTGCTTGAGATTCTCCATTTCCTCGTGCCATTTCAAGTGTGCAATGATGCTGTCGCGTTTCCTGAAGACCACGTTGCATTTGGCGCACCTGTGTATGTTTGTGTGCGTTTTCAGGTGCTTGTTGAATTCACCCTCATCCTCGATTATAGATTTGCATACCTTCGGAATAAAAATAAAGTACCCAGTTAAAACTGGTAAAGCAAGACTATGTTTGGCTGTGATATGACCCTATCACAGCGGTTTTTGTATTTGCATAAATAGCCTCATGTGGAGAAACACCACAACCTCACATAATATGAACCATGAAGATGAAATAGAAATGTTATACTTCTGCATTTCGTCTGGCGAGTGAGGCAGCCAGGGCCCACTCAATTAAAAAGTAGTAACGCATCTGCAACTCTGGGGGTGTTACAAATGTTAACGGGCGACAGTTATCACTTAAAATATGGTGAACCACTGGGTACTCACGTAAAGAAAATATCAGTGTTATTCACACTGTGTACCAATGATGATTATAAATAATCCCTATGACATAGTTAAATCCTTACTAATATTAAAAAAGAATAGATTTTAATGAAACTTTACAATAATGTCAAAACAAAATTTACAATAGCTTATTCTGATGTATAATCAGAATAAGACATAGGCTATAATTTATATACATATTTTATGTATGAATGTCTTATGAAATTTTATGTATGTCTTAAAATTTTATGTATGTCTTTCTGTCTGAATGTTACGCCTACAAACTATTCTACTCAGACGTAGTCGCCGGCAGAAGCTAATATTGAATAATGCAAAGTGAAGTAAATTCAAATACTAATTATATAAACATTAAACACTGCAGGCTTCCATGCTTTGGTTTTTCTCCCCACCTTCAAGTGAAGAGATTCACACCTCATTTTGTACTTAGAGTTGAACAATTTGCCAATGTTAGTCAATCATAATGTGAGTGCCAGGCAAAAGTAAATAGACTATAGTGATAACATCAGCGCAATTATCTCTACTTAGCATTAGGTGATACGGTAAGTAGAGGTTGGTGGTTTTCACTATAAATCATATTTTTTTTAAAATAGGCCTGTGAGAAAGTGAAGTTTGTTTATTAAAATTGAACATACTTACTGTACAAACAAATAGATCAATATCATGCTCTGCCTTCATATGCTCTTTTAATTTGGCTACAAATCTATATCTCACTGGACATTTGCTGCACATTATGTAGCTCATTGGATTCCTCTTCCGTTTTCTCTTTGCTCTGTTATTGGAGGGAAGAGATTCCTTTAGTGCTTCATTCACTTCGCTACTACTGGCCTCATCTATAGGAACCAAGGAACCCTCGTGCGTGTGAAAAAAACTTGAGTCCACATTTTCATCAGCAATAATAAGAATATCATTATCATCATCATTGTCAGAAAATTGCAGATGACTTTTTTCTTCTTTTATATTGCTATTACTAAATATTTCAATATTACTGTTATAAGTCTTGTTTAATTCTGAAATATCGTTTTCTAGGAAAACTCCTGACAGGTCATAATCAAAAATTTGTGTTTCAGGATTTAATAAAGGCAACGTTACACATAGAGAATCTGATGAAATATCATTTGTAATATGTAACAAACTTAAGTTCTCCTCCAATAAATTAATATAAAAGTCTAAAATTTCTTCACTTCTCTTTGATAACAGGTAAAATTTATAAGCTGAAGATGCAGCAATAAAACAATCTGAACAAATTTTGTATTTATCAGTCTGGGAGATCTGAAACAATAATAAACATGTTCATGAATTAACACCTTAATTCTTACCATTTTTACTTTAAACTTGTAGTTTAATGGTAGTAATACTATTTGAAAAAATATAATTCAAATATAATAATCAAAGCCATGGCAATAAAGATATCAGGCGGCTTATAGTTTAAAGAACCACAATACTGACCTTAACATTACACATGTCATTTAATATGTCCGCAATGCAGTACTCTTTATTGTTCTTGCAAACCCTAGTATAAATATCTTCGCTTATTGTGATTAGTGGTAATAAACATATTCGACACAAACTGTCGTTAAATGTGCCATTAACTAAGTGTTTTACGATTTCTTTCATATCAACACCTTGAGCCATCTTTTTGAGAGGTGCCCAACAGTCTGTGGAGTGTGGAAGCATGTTGAAAATTTAAATACATTAAACATTTTAGGAAATAAACAATAGGTACGAGAAGACACAATCATATCAAAATTTGGAATTTACCTCCGCTTTTATTAAAGATGCGTTCGAACGTTTGCAATTTGGAAGCGATCAGATTGGTTTGTTCAAAAAATAAATGACTGCTTCATTTTATTGCTTCAATACTAGTACCATAGATAAAAGTTTCTAAAAGGTAGATAGTTCAATAATCTATATGATACGAAAATGAATTTTATAGTATTTTGTAAGTTTAAACACATTTAGTTGTAGAGATAAGGGGGAAAATAAAAGTATAACGAATATTTCAGTTTCAATCATCCACTACACGAAAAATTGCTCAGTTCAGCTCATTAAACTGACATGTTTAAACTGAATTAATTCAATTATATTGTTAATAAAATAAAAATACTTATAAATCAAGAATAAATTTTATTTGTTCTTTATATTGAACACTTCACTCATGCCATTTATTTTATTTAATACTATCCTCCTGAGAAAACACACCTGTGGTCTGTGTTTTCTCAAAAGGGAGGATAAAGAATAGTTCGAGAAATAAAAAAATATTTATAATGTTTTTTTATAAAACAAAATAATTCAATTCATTACTATAAATATGTAATTAAATGTACAACAATTTTGAATTGAAATATTGAACTCTTTAAGCGGTTTTAGGTTATTCCTCAGGTTTTAACGTAAGTAACCCGTCATGCAAGTGTAACCCACTGAATCGTCATGCTCGGGACGATGAGGAACTGAATCGTGTATATTGTGCTACAATCATCCTCTTTCACGGTTAAGGACGGCAAAAGGTATATTATATAAAGTTAAACGACATTCTTTAAATTAGGACGATGTTAACAATACTCTCTCCACTGTAGCGCATTGGTATATTGCTAACAACTTAATGTTGAATAGTACAAAACGAAATGTATTAAATTTACAACTCCCAACGTAAAAAGTGTAAAAACTGATGTACCTACTTTTACATGGGGAAACATTAAACCTAAATAACTCGACTGTATTTCTTGGCATAACTGTAGATGCCAAATTGCAGTGGGGCCCCATGTTAATAAACTGGCGAGTAGATCTTGTATCTTGTATTAACTCATGTTTTTGCTTTCAGTCCCGAGACTAGGCTAGCCAGAACCCGCGGGGTTGTGCCCTCCGCTGTGGGTAGGGCCACGCATGTGCTCATGCGTGCGTTTGACAATGGTGTGTCATCTAAGGGCCATAGTCGCGGTTCGGAACCGAAACCCCGATAGCCGTCGACTGTGCAATTAGTTAATCGGTGGCTGGGAGCGGTGAGAACCACCCCGGAACGCGGGTGTACCTTGTGTACGCGTTGTGTTGGTCTCGCCGTGCCTCGGAGGCGAGGGCGAACTAGTGTGTTTGTTGTTGCAATAACTGTAGGTGTAGTGTTATCCGGCGGGAGCCCCGGCGGTAGGTCCAACGTATCTAAGTCCCCTCCCTCGACCGGGTCGATGAAGACGTTTCGCGGGCAGCGCTTGTTTACGTTCGCGTTTGTGTCGGGTTGGTAATTTGCTGCGCTTACCACCAGAGGGTTGGGATGATGTTCGGCTCTATCGAAGAACCGTTTCGTCAGGTCTTTAAAATATTCGCGAATCGTCGGGAGTCTGCAATCGTTGTGCAGGTTGACGTTGTGTTGATACCACTGCGTACCGGTTGCGCGGCGGATGAACTTATTTTGTACTATTTGCAACTTGTTCAAGCGAGTAGGGTGCGTGTGGGCGAAGGTCATGCATGCGTAGGACATAATAGGTCGTACGCAGGTCTTATATAATAATAATTTGTGCCTTAAGGGCATTTTACTTTTAGCGTTAGTTAAATTGTGTAGCAGGCCGGAGACGAATGCGGCTCTATTGCGAACGTTATTAATGTGCGTAGTAAATATCATACGCGAGTCGAAAGTGATTCCTAAGTATTTGACCTTTTTCTCCCAGGGGAGCGGTTGGCCATAAAGGGATATTTGCCCCAACTTTCTGCATTGGCGAGGGCCATTATAAAGATGTGACGGGTAAGTACTTCTTGTGAAGTGAATAAAAACACTCTTTTCGGGATTTATTTCTATTCTCCATTTGCGGAACCAATCGCCGAGGCGGTCGGCGGCGCTTTGGAGTCGAGTGCTTAGTTGACTTAGGTTGCGATCTGAATAAATGAGCGCCGTGTCATCCGCGAAAAGCGCGAGATTGACATAGGGGTCTCTAGGTGTATCCCTCGTGTAGAGCGTAAAGAGCAAAGGTGAGAGGCAGGAGCCTTGTGGTACGCCGGCCGTGAGGCGGCGGCTGGCGAGTAGACTTAGCTCAACAGTCTTCACGGTCAAAAAAAATTTAGTTGACTGATATGGATACGGCTCGTCTAGTATATTTTATTTCTAGCTATTTCCACAGTATAACGTCTTATTGCATTCTACTTTGGAGAAATGCAGCCGACATAAACACTATCTTCATCCTGCAAAAGAGCATTTCATTCGAGCATTTTATAACTTGGGCCCCAAAAATTCACTAAGAAACTTGTTTAAAGAAATAAAAATATTGACTGTAGCTTCTCAGTACATACTTGGAAATGTTATGTATCACCACAAAAATAAAAATGACTTTCCAAGATTTAATAATGTGCATGATGTAAATACTAGGAACAAGTATAAATTAGTTCTACCCTCAACTAGATTGCCTAGAATAAGTAAATCTTTTATGGGACAATGTATACGCTTTTACAACAAAATCCCAGAAAACGTTCAAAATGAATCCGTTGCTAAATACAAAAAACTTGTAAAGGAACGTTTGTGTGATAATGGCTAATATGTATCGAGTATCTAATACCTATAAACGCGCAATTCTTGTATATATACAGCGTGTCTTTACCATCGCGACAATAAATGTACACTACTTTAGCGTTGCTTGCCAATAATCATAAAAAAATATTAACGTTAAAAAAATCCATAATTAAAAAAAATTTTTTTCAAACAAACTAATTAAGTAAAAAAGAAACAAAATTAATTAAAAAAAAAGAAACAAAACTACATCTGACTGATTCATACATTTAGAGACTTTTTCATTCGTTGCCACATCGCCGCATTACAAGCCTCTCCTTTTAACAGTATGTTTTGTCTCTTTTAAATTCATTCAACCTATTCATATGCTTTGTGACCTTTTTCTAAAATTTGAATTTTTTTAAAGAATGTAAATCTTTAATACAATTTAAAAAGTTATCCTCTATATGTGTGTTCATCTATTGTCGCGATGGTAAAGACACGCTGTATATATACATATATATCTCGGAAACGACGCCAGCGATTTTCATGAAATGTAGTATGTGCGTAGATTCGGGGGTAAAAAATCGAACTAGCTATCATCTATCTAGCTATCACTGTTTTCAGGGAATGAAAAATATCATTCGAATGTTATATTAAATTTCATAAAATTAAATTAATTCAAATGTTGTAATACATCGGTCGGTAATCAAGCGGCCCCGAAACAGAACGATCTTTTACACACTTATTGTTTTTCTTTTTTTCTATACCGGATCATTGCTTTCTTTTTTTAATTTACAAAATACACGACTTACCAAAATTAAAACCTAGCAAAGCTCGGTCATCCAGGTACTTAGTGATTATTTGAATGATAACAAGCTCTGGAAATTAATTGGTCGCTCCAGACTCTTTCAAGTGGAATTTAATAAATTGTACACATATTCGTTATTTTTTTGTCAAAAAAATGTCCCGCTGAGTTTCTTACTCCGGTTTTTCTCAGGTCAGTGGCTTTCCTTCCGAACCGGTGGTAGTTTTTTTTGACTATCAATAAGTATGTGTAATGCTTCTATATTTAATAAAGATATTTGACTTGACTTTGATAATTTCAATAATTACTTTTTATTACTAAGCATTACATGAAACACAGAAAAAATACAGGAATTTACAACGATATAATGTACTACACATATTTTTTTTAACGCAATGTTTAAAAAGCTGAAGGATATCATAGTCCTGTGTTGCAAAGACTTTTTAAAAACATAAATTTCATGTGGACAAAGACCCATATCCGAAACAATTATCTGTGGGTCACACAAATAACGTGAAAAACACCTGTGAGAAAATATTTTTGTAGCCACTGGTAGGGTACCATCATTTAGTATATCTTTTATATTATTTCCAACTCCAACTCCTCATAATATACATGACTCTTATGGTGATAACAATACTTTTTAAAATGTTTCGGACATTCTTTTCCTTTCTTTTTTCATTAGATCCAATTAGTTCATTCATGTAATTTATGTTAATTATTATTAGTGTTTGAAAGACGGTGTGAACGTCCTTACGTCACTTAATTCACAGGCCCACTCAGTCAGTATTCATATGTCTTCTCTATGGGCCCACTGAAAACCAGCGCTGTAGTCTCGTATCGACTGCGGCATTAAGCTGAGTGTGGTCTGTTTGCCGTATACGCCACACACAATTGTGTGCGTAAAATGTGTAATGTATTTAATAAATTCTTCTTTTTTTTTTAGTATGTATTTTTTGTTTATGGTTTAAATGTACATGTGGCGTATTTGAGCAATAAATGTTTTCTTTCTTTCTTTCTTTCAAATAGTTGTCCCATGTAGTAATCGAACCCACGAACGCCGGGGGTCAAACCCTATATATATCTTTTCAACTACGCCACAGACTGAGATGTTTTTATGTGAGATTTTCGAAAGTTAAACATTTTCGTGGCTTCATTGTGGGCGCTATAAAACAAATCTCTTATAAA